GAGAGAGAGAGAGAGAGAGAGAGAGAGAGAGAGAGAGAGAGAGAGAGAGAGAGAGAGAGAGAGGTGTCCGAGGTAGTGTGGAGATCCCGTCGCCCGTCGTTGGCAGCGAGTAGTTAATGTATTAGGATGGTGGTCTGGGATCCAGCTGACAACGAGTTACCTGGCGTCTCTGTGAGTGTGAGGACATGGTTACGGAGCGAGTTTCGCCGCAGTCAGCTGGGGTTGCACGAGCAGCAGTGGGAGCGGTTCGTTACAGCCCACTGGTATGGGAGGGGGAGGAGCGACAAAAGGGGCCAATGGTTGTTCGTCGTTGTGCGTTTTTCCATTGCCATCTATTGGACTGTGTGCGTGTTGTCGGATGCTCTTCTGCGTGGTGTTGGCGTCGGTCCCATGTGCGACCGGTTACCGACGATGCGAGAAAAATGGCTGATCTATCTCACTCGCTTGTCTGCTGTGCTTGAGGCGATCTACTTCCTTCTCTCGGCTGTTGTCTGCTTACTTTTCACCCTCGAGATTTATCCCTCCTGTCGGTCAGCAGCGCGGCCTTCTCGCTTCGAACCCGCTTATGGCGATGACGGATCACTCACGGGTTCTGTAGATAAAGATTCGAAGTACTCACATCATTCTTCAGGAAAGGAGGTTAGCGGCAGGGTACGTGTCGACGTGGTGGACGAAGGACGTGTCCACGTGGGCAACGAAGGACTTGTTCACGTGGGCAACAACGGGCACGTGTACGTGGCTGACGAGGGGCACGTTCACGTGGCCAACGTGGCTAACGAAGGGCTCGTCCACGTGGCCAACGAGGAGCACGTCCACGTGGCCAATAATGGAGCAGAAACTGGTTCGCTAGATGCAGATCCCATGCACGTATCGGACAGTACGTGTTCAGGGAGGCACGCTTGCTGCAGGTTGCATGTCGACGTGGTGAAAGAGCAATCGAAAACTTGTTCGCTAAAGAGAGGTTTCACGTACTCGTTGGGCGATTTTTCAGCGAATCACGCTGCATGCAGGGTTCAGGTCGATGTGGGCAGTGAGGGATCAGACATTGTTTTAGTAGATAGACCTAAGTACTCTCAGACTGATGCTCTTTCCGGACCGCACCGTAGATGCAGGCTGCATGCAGACGTGGCCGAGTCGAATGGCAGGTTGCATGCAGACGTGGCCGACGTGAAAAGCAGGTTGCATGGAGACGTGGCCGACGTGAAAAGCAGGTTGCATGCAGACGTGACCGAGTCGAATGGCAGGTTGCACGCAGACGTGGCCGACGTGAAAAGGAGGTTGCATGCAGACAGGGCCGACGTGAAAAGCAGATTGCATGCAGACGGGGCCGACGTGAAAAGCAGGTTGCATGCAGAAGGGGCCGACGTGAATAGCAGGTTGCCCGCAGACGGGACGGACGTGAAGGGCAGGTTGCATGCGGACGTGGCAGACGTAAAGGAGCGGACACAAATTTGTTCGTCAGACAAAGGTGCAAAGAACTCTGAGGGGTGTTCGGACAAGGACGCTAGTTGCAGACAGCATGTCGAGGTGAATGGCGATGGAAACGAGTGTCACAAGCAGTTCGTCGCCGAGGAGAAGAAGAGGGGTCCGGGCGGAGATGGTGGCTGTGGCGGGCATTGTGTGCAGGAGAAGGGAGATGGCAGCAACTGCCTGCAGGTGGCAGGGGAGTCAAGTCACCCCAAGCTCCTCGAGCTCCCTTGGGTCTATCGCATGATCTGGGTGCTGCGGAACGTCCAAGCAAGTTGCACTTTCGAAGTCTTCTTCTTCTTCTCCCTGTGGGCAGCCCTGTATTCCATACCCTACGATGCTCTCGACACTCAAATCCATTGCATGAACTTCCTGATCACACTGGCTGACGTCGCCCTGTCTGCGATCCCGATGCGAATCCTACATTTCTATCAACCTGTGGCAGTCGGGATCGCGTATTGCACTTTCACTGTCGTCTTCTGGGCTGCTGGCGGTCGGAACGAGAAGGGCGAGCCGTACATATACATTACGCTGAATTACGAAGAGGAACCTGAGAGGGCGGCTGTGTATCTTGTCATACTATGCCTGCTTGTTGTGCCGATCACTCATTTCCTGTTCTGCTTGTGGAGTTACACGTGGTCCCGTATCCTCGCGCCACGTAGACACCATGCCTCTCGTCCTTCCGAACTAGCAGATAGTACGATCCCTGAGGAGACTGTTCGGGTATAGCGAGAGCGATGAAGAGAGAGAGAGAGAGAGAGAGAGAGAGAGAGAGAGAGAGAGAGAGAGAGAGAGAGAGAGAGAGAGAGAGAGAGAGAGAACTTGCAAGAACACTTCATCGGGTGATCGAAGCCTTACGCGTGCAAGCTGGTGATTGGCCTGCTAAGTGCTGCCTCTGCTCACACGAGTTTTCCAGAAGGAGAAAGGGCGGAGGCATAGATCGTTTAAGCTCAGGTAGGAACAGATTGCCAAAACGGCTCTCCATTGCCTGCATTTGAGTTGACGGACCAGAGGAACCGTTGATAAGCGGACCTGAGCTCGAATCCTGTGGCGGACTCAGAACTTCAGAAGTAGAAGAACCAGTCCTTGCTCCGGGAAGTGTTCAGCTTGCTTCATGTGTGTGTTCGTTTGTTTCTGTGTGTGTACCGGACGTATCGGCCGCATTTGGCTGTTTGTTTAGGGTAGATCCTAATTTCACCGCGAAACCAGTGCATCTTCATTATGACTGTATCAGGCCGGAAAGTTTGTATTCGTTCATGTTTAGGCAGCGTTGTGTGCACGAGGGAGGAGGGTAGCGTAGTCCTTCTGTCCTTGCTGCGTGTGTTTGCCTTTGTTAATGTGTATGTGTGCGTTTTTGTGTGCTTTGTTGGTATGTTTGCGTGTGTTTTGTTTTCGTGTCTGTGCGCGTGTGTTTTGCCATGTTCACTACACACAACTCAGAACAGACCATGACTGTCCCAGACTGTTTCATCGGACATCCACCGACTCAACAGGTCGTTGAGCCCCGACAGTCTGCCCAGGATGTCTCTGTGTGTGTGTGTGTGTGTGTGTGTGTGTGTGTGTGTGTGTGTGTGTTTTCGTGTTTGCTACTGTGTGTCTTTGTCTGCTTACGTTTCTCTGTGTGTGTGTTGGTCTCTTTCTGTGTGTGTTTGTCTACTTACGTTTCTGTGTGTGTTTGTGTGTGTGTGTGTGTGTGTGTGTGTGTGTGTGTGTGTGCGTGTGTGTGTGTGTGTTGCTATTGGGCGACTGGCTGCTGTGTTTGGAAAAAGGGAGCAGCAGCTGCTTAGTACAGATGAGAATTTTAAGAGTGAGGATGACAAGACACTATGCAGCCTTGACCGCTGGTGATATCGTTGCTTGTGTCGGTTCCGACTGGGCGACTGACTGTTGTGTTCTGAAAATATAGCAGCAGCCTTTTTTCTGTCGGCATTTCTCCTTTTACCGATATGGTCCAGAAGCTTGTGTGTTTTGCGATTTCGGTGATTGAGTGCTGTGTTTGGAAAAAGCCAGCAGCAGCTGTTTATTGTTCGCGAGCTGGATTTTGTGAACCCTTGACCGATGGTTAGCTTGTCTGTTGGTATTGGGCAACGGACTGCCCAATACCAAGCATGGCATTGTGCTTATGGACCCTTCTTCTTTATTTTTATTTTTTTGGGCACTTCTTCTTTATTTTTATTTTTTTGGGCCCTTCTTCTTCTCGATTTTTGTTGACGAATGATTTAAGAATCAGGTGCTTATGGACCCAGCTCCATGTCCATTTCTAAGAAACATGTATGGCATTGTGCATTCTTGAGCGTTGGTGGAAAGATAGCTTGTATGTGTGTTTGGAAAAGAAGTAGGAGCACTGACGGGGGTTTTTATTATTAAAAAAAAAAAAAAGAAAAAAAAAAGAAGAAGTAGGAGCAAAAAAGAAAAAAGAAAGAAAAAGGAGGAGCAGCTGTTTCATCATTGAATTGACGGGCCGAATCTGGAGTCGAACTGGGGTCTGCATTTCAACAGTTCATGTGTATACGAGGAGCAGCTTGTGTTATTGTACGACGACGGAAAGAAGTCGAGATGCTAGGGCATGCTCCTACTGACCCAGTGTAAAAAAAAAGAAAAAAAAGGAAAAAAAAAAAAGGAAAAAAAAAAAAGGAACCCCTTTACCGTAATGTAACCTCTAGGCAACCAGCCGGGCCGCCCGGGTCACCTTGTCTTCCCGGGCGGTCCGGCCGTGCAAGGACCAGGAAGGTCCCGGAAAAAAAAAAAAAAAAAAACAAATCCAAGAAAAAAACGTGTTATGCAGAAAAATAAACTAAACAACTTTTGCTTCAAGGTCACATCGAAATTCTTAACCAAATTTGAAATAAATAATAAAATTAAATAACTTATAATAGTCTTATATTTTATTTATTATTCATTTTTTTTTTTTCTGTCGCGGCCGGGCAAGTGACCCCGGCCCACTCTGGTATCCTAATGCTTCAAAAAAAATAAAAAAAAGGTCCAGAGCCAGGGAAGGGCACTGACTGTCAAGAGTGGAGTCTCGTGAGGGAAAGGGGGAGGCAAAAAAAAAACCAAAAAGAAAGTTGGGGGAAAAAGTAAAACACGGGGAAAAAAAAATCCCGAGCGAGCATGCTTGGGTTTTTTTTTTTTTTTYTTTTTTTTTTTAAGGATACCTGTGATTGTATCTCTTTTCTTTACCGCTCGTGCAGTGTGACTTTGATCATCTCTCCGCTCCTCCTTTTTTTTTTCTTTACCGCTCGTGCAGTGTGAGCCACACGGGCCCCAGTTTGGGTCTGGTTCCCAGTAGGCAGGGTAGGCCTAGGGGGACGACGGTTCAGACCAGGCCCAGATAGGCCTGAGGCAGGACACATTAGGCCCAAACGGCCAAAGGCCGGTACCGGTTCAACCCAGGACCAACCGGCGGCGTTTCAGAGGCTGCCACATTTTCGCGCCAAACCAGTTTGAATCTGGACCGTCGATTCAGATCAACAGTCCAGGCCGGTAGGTACCAGTAGGCAAGAGGCCGGCCCAGCACTACAAAAGGCTGGGTACCAGCCTCAGTCAGGTAGGTTAGTATGAACGGAGGTTAGTCTTCAGGATTAGCGCAGCAGCAGCGTTAGCTCGATTAGCGCAGCACTGCAACAGCGAGGAGCAGCGAAGGAGCGAGGTTCGGCGGAGAGCGGATTAGCGCAGCAATGGGCGCCTCGCCAGTTACCGGCCCAGCCGTCCCTTTGCAGCGCCATAGCCAGGTACCAGGGAGGAAGGCTTCGCCTTCTCTCCCTCTTCTCCTCTACCGCTTCTCTCTCTCTCTCTCTCTCTACTCCTCCTACCTTCTCAGTCCAAGTCTACTTCTTCTTCTCCTACAGGACTACTACAGTATGGGAGATGGTTACGAGTTCTGATGATATCTGAGACAGCGACATTGGGACTACGAGTTGAGGACTATTTGGGGATCTGATTTTCATCTTCCTTCCGGAGATGTACTTGACATTGTGAGATCGATATCTGACACAGTGTGAGACTTGGCATTCGCGACATTTCGGATTTTCATCGTTTCGGACATTTCAAGATACTATCGTTGGAAACATTGAGTTGACGTCATCTTCCCCTCTCCTCCTCCTTCGTCTCTCCCTCTCTCCTTTCGTTTGTGCATGATCTCAACCCCTGGCCTCTTGGTCTATGTCTAAGGCCAGGGCATTCGCACCCCCGATGAATGTTTGAGAGTGTTCGATTGCAGTCCGAATCAGGTCTGAGTCAGTACAAGGTATCTCAAGTCTTTCGCTTGCATTTGTATAACTCTGTATTATCTGTCGGTTCTGGGAATCTGCACAATACTTATGACTGTGCTTCACGAGTATGCAACAGTTTGGTATCGGAGCCGACCAGCATTGGATGACTCACCATTGATTGATTGATTGATTGATTGATTGATTGATTATCTAAACCTGCACTCTGTTATCATTAAATCGCAAGTTGCAATTTTTTTTTCTTTCCTCGTACTTTCATAGGTTAATTAGGTCGCTAAAATTTTAATTTTAGGTTTGCGACATTTCTCCATATTGCGCAATTAGGAAATCGGTAATTACGAGTAAACCTAATTAGCGCTAATTAGGGTTAGTCCTAACCTAATCTAAACGACCTACCTAACCTATAGGAACAAAGTGCCAGCCAGGCACCGCGCCAATCAAGGCAGATCGGGCCTGAGCAAGGCCATATTCGAACTGCAACTTCACGGAACTTTCACTTTTTGCAAACTGCATCTTTTTGCCATTTAAAGGTTGGATCTTTCCAGCAAATTGTGTATCTCCCTGCTACCATTCATCTCTACTAAATGAGTGACCTCGTGATGATGCTAAAATCTTCCAACGAATTTCGTGAAATTTTTGAAAAGTTAAATGCTAATGTTTAAACTTGCTTAAACTTATTCATTTCTTTTATTGATGCAAATTCTAGGCTACCAGCCGGGCCGCCCGGGTCCCGGGTGGCCAGCCCGTGCAAGGTCCCAGCAAAAAAAAAAAAAAAAAAAAAAAAATCCAAAAATTCGGAAAAAAAAGCTGTGGTATGCAGAAAAATAAACTGAACAACGTTTGCCTCAGGGTCACATCGAAATTCTTCACCAAATTTAAAATAAAAAATAAAATTCAAAAATATTTTATTTATTTTTATGTTTTTTAATTATTTTGGCCCGGCCGGGCAAGTGAGCCCGGGCCACTCTGGTAGCCTAGTGCAAATTTCAATATTTTGATTAAATATTTAACTTTTGTGAAATTAATTATTACAAAGTTAAATATTTCGTTAATCAGGTATTTAATTTTTGCCGAAATAATATTTTATTAATTCCTATTTTTTTGATTAAAATTTTATTTAATTTCCCAAAATTCGGAAATTCGTCGGGGGGGGAATTCTTTTTTTCTTTGATTAGTATCAGACTTCGAGGTCAGGGGACACAGGGACAGTCTGTGCATTGTGGGCCTCTCTGCCCCTCCTCCCCACCCAACCTTCTCTTCTCCTCTTTGTATACGGCTGCCAGAATCCGAACACGTCAGCAGAGTGCCACCTCAGCAGTGACACGTCAGCAGAAGTGCCACCTCAACAGTGACACGTCAGCAGAGTGCCACCTCAGCAGGCAGCCACCTCAGCAGTGACATATCTTGATGCGCCGCAGCCAACGACTGGCCGGACGCGGATCCGCAGGATCCAAACCTCAACAGGAACTTAGCACCCCTCGGATTCCACGCAGGCCACGCACGACCATGGCTGCTACCTCTGACAACAGTGCACCAGCTAGCCCCAAGGTGTGTGTGTCCCCGCAGAGGACTCTTTTTTATTATTATTATAATTTATTACTCATAAAACTTGAGGCCGGGGTCCCCACATTCTACCTGGGAAAACCTCTGGGAGCATTACCCAGTTTTGCTTACGGGAGGAGCCCGCGGGGACCAACCACCAGAAAAGACTGCGCGGTGGAGTTGTTGCTCCATGAAGAATGTTGACACTCCCTCCTTACCCCGCTTCCCTCTTTCTGCTGCCCGCGTACTGAGCAGACGAACCGAGTGCCCAGGTCTTAGGACTCAAATTTTGGCACCAGCCTCGTCAACTTACGAGTGTTTTTTTTTTTTTTTTTCTAAATGCCACTGCCGTTACTTATCATCGTAGAGAGCGCACGTGAAAACGCCAGCTCGGACAAAGGAAAAGACAAAGAGTGCATAGCGACGTTGCTTTTTTATCCTTCGATGTGACGATGTCGGCTCTTCCTATGATTGTGAAGCAGAATTCACCAAGTGTKGGATTGTTCACCCACCAACAGGGAAAGTGAGCTGAAAAAAAAAAACACTTTCCAAAAGAGGAAAAAGAAAAAAAAAAGAACAGACTGCATGACGATGAAAAGAATTGTAAGTCTTAGAACATCAGCCCCCAACACTAACTGCCCCTTTCCCCCCCCGAAAGAAAAACAAAAAGAGGAGGCCAAATCAGGCCCAAATGTGTGGAACTCATGGGTAGTGGGGTTTGGTTCCCCTCCAATTTGACTCACGAAGACGTGGCCAAGGAGCCCAAAAAAAAAAAAAAAAAAAAAAAAAGGTGCAGGGATTGAGTCTATATATTAGGTAGATACAACCATACAGCCATGCCATGATGACTGTACGTTCTACTCGGGGAAGACGGTGGTTTGCGGCCATCATGACAAGCATGGTCAGGGCCCCAGGGGTGGGGCCCAACCTCTGAAAGTTCCTCCATGCCCACCCGTACAAAAAACCACGTACGTTTCCGAAATTTCGTCGCACCATCGCGGACGCAAACTGCTTGGTTGAACTGACCACGAAAAGGGGGGACGGATCGTTGCAATGAGTTACTTACTACGGTAGTGTGGTTGACACGACGGTCACCAAAAAAGGTTTCCCATATTGCCTCCTCTGTCTATTCAATATTATTCCTTGAGACGTTTCCCTCGATTCATGGGAGAATCCGGGAAGCAAAATTTCTTCACACTAATGTTGACGGAGAGGAAGGAGAAAGGGTTCGACTTTCGGATGGATGAGCGTGTGTATTCCGAGATGGAGGCGATGTCAAAGGCTGATCACACTATCCACCCGGCGAGTCTCGTGGACACGGGTGCGGCTGGAGGGGTTCAGATGCCCGGGCCAGGTGGCGATCAGAACGAATCCGTGCCTAGCGAGGGATGTGGGGACGGACAGGACGATGATCGAGGATCGACGAGGGATTCGACGTTCAGCAGTGGTAGTGCTGGCAGGAGCGGCAAAAGGAAGAATGTGAGACAGCAGACCTTCAAAGCGATCGCCGACGTCATGGATAAGCACGGGAAGATGATGGCGACAACGGTGGACAGTGCGAGCAAGAGGCATTGCTCAGTTGTGATGAGGTAAGGCGGCATTCTCGAGCGAGAGGTGGAGGTGCAGAAGGAGCACTACGAGAAGGCAACCCAGGGTCGATGACGTGCGCCACAACGATGGGAGAAGAGATGGACGGCGGGGAGGCGATGATGAGGACGACCGACCCCTCGCCAGTAGGCGGAAGAGGACCGCAAAGGAGGTCAATCTGGAGGGGAGGTTGAAGTTGTGGGTTGATTGCGATGCTTTTTGGGGTCAAGGCCCCGAAAAACCGTTGAGGTAGGCGGTTGAGGACTGCGCCGATTACTTCGTCGCCATCGCCAACGGAGATGCAGGAGCTGAACCACCATCCATGCTCATAATGCCGCCGAATGAGGTGCTATGCTTCAAGATCTATGACCCTGCGCAGCGTGAACCGGCTTTGCACAGAGCGCGCATCATGGAGAAACTGGTAATGCGCACCATTTACGGGTGGATCTTCAGATCATCGTCGAGGTCGAATGGCTTCGCTCGTGCAGAGTCCTACATCACCGTCAACTACGCTACCGACGTTGCACGAGCTATTTGGCAGGGGTTGGAGTGGTCGATAGTGGTTTCCCTAGCCCTGAGGCTCATTTACTACACGCTGCAGATATAGATGGACGTCCCTTTGTTGTTCGCGGGGGTGAAAATTGTGGACAGGCCTGAAGATGATGACATGGCGGGGCAACATGAGGCGCTAGTTATTCGTGTGGCGGAGTGCTGGACAGATGCGCTTTGGTGTGGACAATGGACGGACGGCTATGTGATACACTCGGCCTAGGCTGCGAGCATTTCGGTCGCTGCGGCCGAGAATCTCGGCCGCGGCCGAGGCCAATGAGGCCAAGTCCGCGACCTGGTTTTTATATATATATATTTTTTACCCCTAAAAATACTCAAAAAAAA